AGCCCGAAGATCCTGGACCATCCTATATTTGTCAGGTTCACCCTTAGGTGTCCTCTTCTTCACAGGGAACAATGGGGTGTTGCATGGTGATTCACACTTGACAAGAGCACCTTTAGCCAGTAATGCTTGGACTTGTTCCGTGATGGCCACAGCTTGTGCTGGTTTCAATGGATATTGAGACTTTCTCGGTAATTTTGCTCCTGGAATTAACTTTACCATCACAGGTGGGACCTTTAGATGACCTATGTCCTCTGGGCCTGAAGACCATAGTTTCTTGGGGACACTTGTCATTAGAATTTCTGGAAAGTTGTCCCTCAGAGCCTTTGCATTCCCATGGGGTTTTTCTAGATGAAGCATCAAAGGCAAGGAACACAAGGCTGAGGTGTCTGATTCGGACAGGGGAGTAGATAGTTCCACCTGGCCGTCCGGTGTGAAGGTGATAGACGCCTGTAGGCGGGAAAGGACATCAGCGCCTAATAGGTTAATAGGACATGTTGAAGACACCACAAATCGGGCAAGCATGTTAGGGCAGTTGCCAACCCCTAAAGGAGTAGTTAAAGGACTATGTCTCGGGAGGCCATCTACACCTACACGGGAGACATCGATATTGGAAAGGAATGAAGAGTCAGGCAGGTCTTGTTCTCTCAGAACACTTCGGGCTGCACCTGTGTCAACAAGGAATGTGGTAGGGTGACCTTCAATAGGTAAAGTTACAGTGGCTAGTGGCCCCCCTTGTTCCCCTGAAGATACTGCCATGACAGGGGTTAATGACACAGGCTTGCCAATTTCCTAATCTTCTTGGACTGAATCGGGTAAGGGAGGTTTTGGAGCCTTTGTTATTGGTGTGGGTTTAGGCACCTCCCCGTCTGTATGAGATTTTCGGTACCTTCGGGGCAATCATTCCTGAAATGGCCCTTTTCCCCACAATTAAAACAGTTTCCATCAGCGGGCCTGGTGCCTCTTGGGACTGGGCGTGACACCATAATAGGAGTAGAATTGAGCTTTCTAGGATTCTGTGCTGATTCTAGTCCTCTGGCAACTAAGAGTAACTTAGCCAGGGGGACCACCCTATATTCAGGGCGAGCAGCAATAATACTCTTGCGTATAGAGTCTTTGATGCCCAGGACAAAGGCGCCAGAAAGCATCTGGGAATGGATTTTGTTGCTGAGATCAAATCCCAGGTCTGAGAACACCTGGAAAAGTCTAGCATGGAACCTCTCCACAGATTCACCTTTTTCCTGAACAACATCGTTGAGGCCAGCTGCTTGGTCCGCGAGCTTATCCTTAGCCCAGTCCTTCTCATGAGCACAGAATTCAATCCCCGATGCATAGTCAGTATCACTAGTGAGCCAGTTGTTGCAGAGGTGGCGGGCAATGCTAGGCCAATAAGCATCTCCAGCCTTTATGGCACAGATGCTTAACAAATCACGCCATGCGGCGGAATAGGTCTGTTGAATTTGGACTACCCCTCTATAGAAGGGCATGGGCTGTTTTTTGAGGTCAGGGAGTGATTTCATGAGAGCAGAGGCCTGAGTGGGATTGAAGGAGACATACATTACAGGGGCCTTCTCTCCCTGAATCCGGCGACCAAAAGGGTAATTGATAGAGCACCGGGGCAGGCGGGGCGATGTGTTTCTAGAGTCCGGTGGGATTTGATAACCATGAGAGCTGACTGAATCGAAGTCATTCTGGGATGGTGACACTCGGACCCCTGTAGGATTTGTAGCTTCCTGAGGTGTCAGGGCTGGGGGTAGAATGGGCACTCCGCCTGCCGGAGCTAATGGTGTGGTATTTGCTGGTGGTAACAAATCATTTGGAAGGACTGGCATTAGAGGTGCCGCGCCACTGGGGGCTGCCATATTGGAGGCGTGGAAGGAAGCGGCGTTGGGGTTAAGGGAGGAAGTGGCGGCCATGTTGGATGTGGGCACAATTTGAGCAGGTTGAGGCAGGGTAGGCGTGATCGGGGACGGGGGTGTGGCTACGGAAGGTACGTAGGAAGTGGCGGAATAGGGCGGAGTTGCGGGATAAGGGTAGGGGAATGGCCAGGCCATTTGGGCGGGTGCAAGGGCGGAGCACGGGTAGGGCGGAGGAAATGGGTATGGATTAGGAAGGGAGGAAGGATATAAAGGATATAGGTATGGTGGTGGGGACATGGAAGAATGAGTAGCGGGTGGAGTGGGAGGAGGAGAAGGTGGAGTAGGAGGGACGGGAGGGGTAGGAGGAGGAGAAGGTGTAGTAGGAAGGGCAGGAGAAGAGGGAGGGGAAGAAGAAGGAGCAGACGGAGGGAAGGGACAGACGGAGGGGTTAGTAGGAGGAGTAGGAGGGGGTGGGCAGGTAGGGGAGGGGTGGAAGGGAGGAAGAGTGGACGGACTGGAGAGGGAGGGTGGTGTGAGAGAGGAGGAGGGTGACGAGATCTGTAGGACTGATGGGGGGGAGAATAAGGATCCATCAGCATTCAGGACTGGGCAAACAGGGGCGGTGGTAGGGTGGGGAACAGGGGTGGGGACCACTGCTTTGGTCAGCTGCATTTCGGTCATTGTTGACGCGATGTTGGGAGTGGTCACCTCCTGGGCGCCATCATAGGGCGCTGGCTGGGAGGACTTCCCAGTAACACAATTATTATAATACACAAACAATCTTAAACCTTTATGATCAATTTCTTCCTCAACCCATGCCTCTTGCTGAATAGCTCTTGCTACTCGGTACCAGGCTTCTGCTGTACGAACCAAATCGTGGTCCGACAGCTTCCCCTTCTTCTCTATCAGTAACTTACGCCAGCTCTCTGGCTGCAATCTGCCGCACGGAGGTACGGTAATTCCACATATTTTAGCAATCTTCCTCACTTTCTTAACCATCTCTTCTCCTTCTCTGTCTTCCACTAGATCACATGCTAACCAACCCTTACTGGGTTTATCTAACTTCTGTCCCATCCTCCCTATATAAGGCGTCCCAGATATAGAGAAAGAGAGAAAAGAAGGTCTACAGTGCTCGACTGCTACGTAAGAGTGGGTTCCTACGTACGTCTTCCCAAAACGTAGACTAGTCACTAATTCCGCCTACCCGAGGTAGCCGCGGAATTGGAGCGTGGCGAGAAGTGTGTGACCAATCACTTCTCTCAACAAAGAGAAATAAGAGGGGAAAGTGTAAATAACACAGAGAGTAAGATAAGATCAAGCACAGGAATCTGTGTGACAGACAATTAAGACAACATTTCAAATAAAATACAGTGCATGCATCACAGTTCAAATCCTTTTCCTTTACTCGTGTGGCCTTAGCCACCTCCCTCAACCTCGTAGTGTCCCTGTTGCGGACCCACCCACAAGTTTCACTACCGCACGGTGATGGAAACAGCAATGCCTGCCCGAATCCAATCCCACCACAACCTAACAGTGTCCGTATCCGCGGGCACTGAGAGGTTAACAGAACACTACCAGCGTCAGCGCTCGAGGCTGAAGTGTCTCACCCTCTGCAAGCAGAGTAACGTGCACAATGAGGCTAGCCAGGCCCTCAAAGTGACACCCCGGACCTGAGAAAGTAGTGAGTCCACACAGACTTCCACCAGATCCCCTCCCCTTTTTCCTTTACCGCTAGAGCCACCTAGCACCTAAAAGGGGTAAACAGGCACTCACACTCCCCGGGGACTAAGCTAAACACAAACCAATACAAACACACCCAGGCAACAAATAGTCAACATGCAGGTAAACTAGGTATCATTAACAATACAAAGACTCTGGGCAAGTTATTACCTGACTTTGATGTCCTCTCAGCAGCAGTCACAGACACTGGGACAGGTCAATCACAGGGGCAGGAACATAGGTGCTGCAGCAGTCTCCACCGTGTACTCAGAGGTGATCAGGCTCTTTTCCTTCCCCCAGGATTCATCCCCCCACAGCGTCTTCTTGGACGGCTGCCCGGGCAGGACATAACCCAGAGCCCCACGTTGGAGGCAAAATTGTAGTAGATTATTTACTGCAAACCAATTAGTTTGAATGACTATCTGTTCCTGTCCAAATCAAAGATAATAAAGTTACGTGCACGCAGAAGTAAATTCACACTGAGACACAGAGTTCAGGTTAATGAAAGAACTTCGGAAAAGTTTAATGGCTTCTAACAGATAATGGGTGCGCAGACCCTTTAAAAGGCATTTTTACATCACTGAAGAATTCAAGATAACAGCAAATAAACTTTAATAATTGGTCCAGGTGTTAAGTGGTTAGTTAGATACCCTCCCATCAACAGGTGATGTTATCCTTGACACGGGGGTGGACACAAGATGTAGGCGCCATCTTATTAGCACGAGGTGTTCACTCGATGGGAGGGATGCTTTGGCAGGCATTTTGAGTAGTTAGTATTGTTAGCTTCAAGGTTCTTTTAGTAAATACACATTTTATTATTCAGCACATTTCTTCCTGCCAGAGCATTAGCTTAGATAATTTCAAGAATTCTATAATTCTACAACAGAGGTTTTAGACCTCAATTTGGCCTAAAAGTCAGGTCATGCCACACATGTCTGGTTGCCCTAGAAAATATATTTTTAAACTATATAGTTGCATATGATTGCAAGCACAATGTATAGATAACAGTTTTAATGCAAACCAGAAGTTCTTGTCATCCAGGTTTTGTGTATGGGATGGTATGGCCACCTAAAAACTTTTTTAATTTAATCCTGTTATTAGTATAACTATGTTTAAATGTTATACATAGTAATCAAGGTTGAAAAAAAAAAAGTATCAAGTTAATTGAATTCAACCTTTAAATACATCTTTTTAGGCGGTTGATCCAAATGAAGGCCAAAAACAAAAACAATTTTTTTTTGAAGTTTTGGCCAAATATGCCACAAAAGGGAATCGCAATAACAGCAATCAGATTTCTCCTTGGATCAACTGTTCATAAACATACTAATGATATCCTTGAATATAGTATATTGTTTTCCAAAAATTCGAGGCATTTTTAAAAAACTATCTACAGAATTTGATAGGAAAACTCTATTGGTAGAGAATTTCCAATTTTTTGGGGTTCTTATTGTTATGGACCTTTTCCTCAGCTGTAAGAAGAACTGTATTTTTTTCCAGTCTCAATGAGTGACCGCTAATCGGTTGTATTTTCCTGCTAACAGATTATCATCTAGCGAATTGTAACATAGAAACATAGAATGTGACGGCAGATAAGAACCATTCGGCCCATCTAGTCTGCCCAATTTTCTAAATACTTTCATTAGTCACTGGCCTTATCTTATAGTTAGGATAGCCTTATGCCTATCCCACGCATGCTTAAACTCCTTTACTGTGTTAACCTCTACCACTTCAGCTGGAAGGCTATTCCATGCATCCACTACCCTCTCAGTAAAGTAATACTTCCTGATATTATTTTTAAACCTTTGTCCCTCTAATTTAAGACTATGTCCTCTTGTTGTGGTAGTTTTTCTTCTTTTAAATATAGTCTCCTCCTTTACTGTGTTGATTCCCTTTATGTATTTAAATGTTTCTGTCATATCCCCCCTGTCTCGTCTTTCTTCCAAGCTATACATGTTAAGATCCTTTAACCTTTCCTGGTAAGTTTTATCCCGCAATCCATGAACCAGTTTAGTAGCCCTTCTCTGAACCCTCTCTAAGGTATCAATAGTCTTCTGAAGATACGGTCTCCAGTCCTGTGTACAATAATCTAAGTGAGGTCTCACCAGTGTTCTGTACAATGGCATGAGCAGTTCCCTCTTTCTACTGCTAATACCTCTCCCTATACAACCAAGCATAGGGAGGCACTTCACTTACCACTTTTAATCAATATATATTTTTTCCTTATTTACAACTACTCTTCCCATTCTATCGTTGAGCCAGTGTTCTACCCATGAACAAGCTTTGTTACATAAACCAACTGATTAGATTCAATTTCTATTATTTTAAATTTCACTCCCAAAGATATGGTGCCTCTGTCAAACATTAAAAAAAAAACCTCACATGACGTTTTTAAGAATTATTATAAGCGGAATTCAGTTTAATACAATAACGACCCTGTATATATTTGTATATTGCTTACATAAACCATCTGTGACGTCTTTTTTTCTTAAAAAAACAAATGCAGTATTTCTAGCCTTTCATCGTAACCAAGTTTTTCACCCCCCTTAATAATTTTGTAGCTCGCCTCTGCATATTTCTAGTTCTGTAATGTTTTTCTTTAAAACTGGTGAACAAAATTACACTGCATTTTCAAGGTGGGGTCTTACCATTCATTTATAGAGGCAAAAAGTACATTTTGATCACGTTAATTAATAACCCATTTTATAAATGACCGCGTCTTACTAGGCTTTGCAATGGCAGACAGACATTGCACATTGTAAGCTAGTTTGTTATCTATAATTGTTCCCAAGTTCTTTTCATTTACAATTATCCTTAAATCAACCCCATTTAATGTATAAATTGCTTTTGTTTTCCTTATTTCAAAATGCATGACTTTGCTACTCTTTAATTTGTTTATAAATAACAGGTCCACCCATTGTGTGTTTTTGTGTGTTACTCATTTGCCAATTGCCTGCCTAGTTCATACAAATCCCTCTATAGAGATGTTAGATAATTCAGTATTATTATTATATAACACCGACATATGATTTTCAATGCCCACTTCAAGATCATCTATAATCAAATTAAAGATAAGTAGACTCAGGACAGAGCCTTGAGGCACTTCACTTACCACTTTTAATCAATATATCTTTTTCCTTATTTACAACTACTCTTCCCATTCTATCGTTGAGCCAGTGTTCTACCCATGAACAAGCTTTGTTACATAAACCAACTGATTAGATTCAATTTCTATTATTTTAAATTTCACTCCCAAAGATATGGTACCTCTGTCAAACATTAAAAAAAAAAACCTCACAACGTTTTTAAGAATTATTATAAGCGGAATTCAGTTTAATACAATAAGATGAACAGTGTAATATTTATGCAAAGCCGCATGTCAAATAATGTGTTTGTGCATATTCATTTTATAGACCCAATTATACAATTAGAAATAAATGTTACAATTTTGCTTAGTAAAATAAGGAAAATGTACATAAGGAAAAATGCAGTCCAGTGTATATGTACAAGTGTTTTTCATACCACAGGATTACTTAAAAATATACATATAATACAATTATTTTGCTGTTCTTGTCCTTAAACGTCTCTTCATTATTAAGTGATCACTTTCCTTATCGTTTTTGTCCATGATGGTCTAAAAGAAAGGAGAAAAAAAAAAAAAGAGAGGTGTTCAGTTTAAGGATCAGTATTCTGTAGAGCCAAATATTTAAAACGTATGCGGTTTGGTTTGGAAACAATTCAAACATGTTGAAGTACTAAGTGACAATGGTGTTACTGTAACAGAACAAACTGGTTCAAATCTGACAGAAAATTAGAGAGACATTATGGGGACGCTGAATTTTCCTCATAGAGATGCATTGATTCAATGCATCTCTATGAGGAGGTGCTGATTGGCCAAAATGGCGTTTGGCCCTGCCTCCTTGCCGATTTCAGCCAATCCAATGCTTTCCCCATGGGAAGGCATTGGATTGGCTAAAAAGCTGCAATTCTGATGTCACCAAGGGGGCGGAGCTAGTGCCGGCAGACAGGCGCGGCGCTGGAAATAAGGTGCGTTTTAATTGCTTTTAAGGGGGCTGTGGGGAGCGGGGGGGGCAAGCCACCTAAATGGTGGGTTAAACACTATAGGGTCAGGGCATTCCATTTTGAAGAAGTCTGTATGACAAAACGCGTTAATGGAAACATAATTTTGTATAATAAATATTAACGTTTTGGTTACTTGATAGTTCCCATTATCTTTATTTATACATTTATCCCTGGCAAGTTTTATATATATATATATATATATATATATATATATATATATATATATATATATATATATATATGATACATTTTTATCCTAATTTTAACAACACTTCCACAAGTTCCTGTGCAGCTAAAGAAATCCTAGGTGGGGATTATTCCACCAGCGCTGACACCAAAGAGCAGTTGGCCTGCTCTGTACTTGTACTATATATATCCATACAGAGAGCACTATCTGGATTGTTTCTGTTCTCTTTGAGTTTCTGGATACCACTGAAGAATCGATACTCACCACATATCCCATAAGCGGGGATTATACCGCTGTGTGCGCTTTACCCTAGAGCTGGACAGAAGCTTTTATAAATTGTGAGTTTGCTACTTTTATTTTACTTCACTTGAACCATACATATTGCACTATCGGTTGTTCTCTCTTTTTATCTTTTATATTCAATACCCGAAGACTCTGTTCCTGTATCCAAGGACGACAGAGAGGACACTTTTAGGTTGGACTTTTACCATTATTTGGACTGGATATTATCTCTTTTGCCTTGGCGCAGCCCTCCTTTTATATTTTGTTTTTACTTTGTATTTTTAGGGTTTTGGGGGGATTCCCTATTTGTGTTGCTGCCTTATAGGTTGATTGGCGCTGTCTCTTCCTTTTATCTATTTATCAGGAATACATATTTGTGTTCCTGACCCTATAGTGTTCCTTTAAATTTGAGTTAGGAATCATAGTCCTCCAATACACCTAGGTGAAGAATTGCTATATGCAGGGAACATAGTAGAGTAAAATCCTGTTGCGTTCAGTCATAGGACACACAAGGCCTGTAAATTTTACAGTGAAAATGTAATGCGTGAACAAAAATCACACAGAGTGAATTTTGAATGTAATTTTGACAGAACTTGATAGAAATGCAAAGGGATTCACAAAAGCCACGGCTGATTTCTAAGGCACATAGTATAACAATATGGAGAGAATTTGAGATGGGGGCTGAACAAAACGTGACATAAAACCAAAAGGTCTATTTAGGCAAAAAAAAAAAAAAAAAAAAAAACACAAACATTTTGAGTTTGATGAAAAATTCCCAACAATTCACAGTTTACTGAATTAAACAATCATAAATGCTAGTCTGAATTTCAAATGGGTAAGCCTTTAATTCAACCCTAAAACTTCTTAGAACACACCATCAAAACTATAAGGTATTGATATATGTGGAGGATGTAGATGAATATAAATTAGATATTTTTTATCTGCAATCGTTTGAGTGAAAATTACAATATTAGGGGAAAAAAAGCCTTTCACGGACCTATTTAACAGAAAACATTGTTACAAAAATCCATTAATTCTCTTAAATTTGTATTTCCAAAATTAGAGATGGTTTTTATTTCATACTTCATTCTCAAAAATACAATTGAAATATAATGCTATGTGCATCTAAAGCTTCACAATATTCGAACTTTAAAGCTAAAATACTTACTGGAGGAGCTAGGAAGTCAAGCGGAGCTGAAATATCTGTATTATACAATTTTCTTCTAATTTTTTTAGGTTTGTTCTCATTTTCTTTTCTACTGACAGTTAGATCAGTTGTCTTTGGAGCACTAATTGTCTCCAGGAGTTTTTTGGCTTTAATAAAAACAGAAAAAAAACACACAAATTAAAAAAATGTATTTTTAGGACATGTTTAATGAAAGAACAAAACAACAACAAATGTCAATGCTTAATGAACAGAGATCAGGAAAGCTCAGATACCTACAGGAGTAATTTGATTTAGGCTAAATGTGAAATATGGGGTCTTCATATTGCGAATCAAGAATAAACAATATGGATAGAAAGAAAAAAATCTGTGCTACAAAATATTGAAAAAGGATAAAAAAGCAAGAGAATGAAAAGAAAAGGC